GGAGGTGGAGGTTGCAGTGAGCCAAGATCGCACCACTGCACTCCAGCCCAGGCAACAAGAGTGAAACTCCGTCTCAAAAAAAAAAAAAATTAAAAATTGATTGCCTTTTATCGTGGTAAAATATACATATTTTTAAGTGTACAACTAAGTGGCATTAAGTGTATTCACATTGTTGTACAACTATCACCACCATCCATCTCCAGAACTCCTTCATCTGCCTGAACTGCAAGTCGGTACCATTTAAACACTAACTCCTCGTTCCTCGCTCCTCCCAGCCCCTGGCAACTGCGTTTCTATTTTCTATCTCTATGAATTTGACTGCTCTAGGTACTTTTTATAAATGGAACCATACAGGATTTGTCCTTTGTGACTGACTGATTTCCCTTAGGATAATGTTCTCGAGGTTCACCCATGTGTCTGAAATTTCCTTTTAAAGACTCGATAATGTTCCATTGTCTACACATACCACATATTGTTTGTCCACTCATCTGTCCATGGACTTTGGGTTGCTGGAACTTTTTTTGGCTATTGTCAATAATGCTGCTATAAAAATGAATGTAGAGATACTTGTTCAAGCAACTCTTTTGCTCAAAGGAGAATTGCTGGATCATATATTAGGTTGGTGCAAAAGTAATTGCAGCTTTTCCCATTCCTTTTAAAGGCAAAAATTTTTTGAGAAACTGTTCAACTGCATTCCATAGTAGCTCTACCATTTTACTTTATGGGGTATGATTTTTATTCATTTTTGTTTTCCCTAATTAGATTGCTATCTTCCTGAGATCATTTACCCTATGGCACCTGAATCTCCCAGAGCCCCTACAAAATTGCCTCAAGCATTATAGATGCTCAATAAATATGGGAATAAAAGGTTTGTTTCAAGCTCCTGGAAGCTCATCTCCATTCTCAGTGTGTTCCTTCTTCTCGTCCTTGTTCTTTCCTCAGCTCTCATATCCCGTGATTTAGTAGACCTCTGCTAATAATTTCCATGTCTTTAATGACTTACAGTCTTTGGCCATGCAGCTGTTAAGAGCCTGGACACTGAGGTCAGAAATACCTGGCTTCAAGGCCTGGCTCTACCACTTACCAGTTGTATGACCATGGGCAAGCTTCTAATCTCTTGTTTTGGATATTTATTGCTGCATAATGAAACACTCCCAAATGTATTAGCCTGATCAATGGCTATTTTATTATTTACTAGAATTCTGTGGGTGTACTGGGTTGATTCTTGTATTCCACATTGTGTCAGCTGGGGTCACTCACATGGCTGCGTTCATCAGTGAGCTTGGCTAGGGTTCCAATGACCAAGAAGGCCTCACTCACATGTCTGACACTTCATGTCTTGGGTAGCTGAAATTGCTGGGGGCTGGTTGGGTCTTTCCTTCTTCCTTCTTAGTCTCTTATAAAAAATTGGATCCTTTTCTCCATGTGGCCTTTGTCCATGTGGCCTTTCTCTCTTAACAGGTTATTCAGACTTCCTGACATGGCAACTGGCTTCAAAGAGAGCAGAAATGGAAGTTGCCAGTGTTCTTAAGATGTAAGCCAGAACAAGCATGTCATCACTTCCAATTCGTTCTTTTGTTGAAAGCCACCACAGGCCAGCCAAAGCTCAACAGGAGGGGAAACAGACTCCAACACTCAGTGGGAAGAGGGGCATTTGCATACTGGGATGGAGGAATTCATGGCCATATTTGCAGACAACCCATCTCTAAGCCTCGGTTTCCCCATCTGTAAAATGGGAGATAATAATAACAGCTTTCTTTGTAAGGTTACAGTGAAGATAAAATGTAATAATGCATGTAAGATGTACACTAATCGTGTTTCAAATTATTCTTATTATATTATTATTTCTATTTTATTCCAAGGTTGATGTTTTTCAAGTTCATTTTGAAATTCTCCTCTCTTTCTCTATTCAATAAGATCGACACACCGCTAATCATCACCACAAAGAGTATTGCAATCAGTATAAGAATACCTACCCTCCCTGCCATAAACCAGGGCTGGCTTCCCAGGAATCCTCAGGGTTTTCCAGCCTTTGTGCCTGTGCCCCACTTCCTTTTTGAGATGTCGCTCTTGGACTGAAAGGACATGACCATCTTTGGGATCCACTTTTGAAATCCTACAGCTTTCTGCAATTTGTTTTTATAAAATCATATTTTGCATCTTGAGAAATATTAATGCCTTCTCTCTTTGAACTTTGAAATTTCTTTCATGAAAGAAAAATAAAAAGCAGAGGTTATTAGGGTGACATAATGCACTCACGTCATAATTCAGATATTCAAACAAAAATGATCTTTCTTTGTTGATTCGGTCTTCCTCACCAAATCACCCCCTGGGGAGTGGGAGGAAATAAAATCTGCTCAAGAGTCAGCCTGATTTAAACAGTAGTCTAACATGATCATTTAAACAGTTCCTTTTAGATGGTGTACCATGTCTCTTGGATAAGATGCTGTGTGTCTCTGACAGCCTTTCTTCCTCCTGGTTTCCTCCCTGTGATGGTTCCTGGGTCTAAGGGGGCTGGCATGGCTATTGCTCCTTACTGGACAGATGGAAGAGCTAGAGTCCTTGGGCCCTGTCCCTTCTCTGGTTTTCAGGGTGATGTCCCTTGTCTGCCTGCTTGCTGCTTGTTCTACAGGCATGAGAACCTGAAGTCCAAGGCTGGTAACTAGTCATTTCCTCTCTGGGTTTGGGCGACGGGGTGCTGCTCTTGCCTCATTCAGTCTCGGCTTAGCTTTTATGGGTGCCATGGCTGCTCTGTGGCCTGGCTGTGGCTCCCTGGCTATCCTAACCCAGGCAGTCAATGCTGAGCCCTCTCTCTGGGGCAATCCTACCCAGATACAGTAACCCACTGGCATTCTCCATGGCTCTCCTCTCAGCCTCTCTGGGTCCAGCCTCTCTCTGTCTGACCACGCTGCCAGTGCCAGCCCCTCATTCTTTCAAAGCTTTTGCTTTCAGAAATAATGCCTTGGTGAGCATATTGTATGTGTCTGTTGCTTTCCAGGAATAGATATAGAGAAATAAAATTGTGGGATTTTAGGTTACATACATTTTTATATTTTAAAATAGTCCCATATTTACCTCGAAAGTCACTGTTACCAATTTACATTCTATCACTCCTCACACTTGCTAATTCTGGAGATGAGCAAATTGTTTACAGAGTTTGTCAATCTGATGGTCGTTAAAAAGGTATTTTAGTATTGCTAAGCATTTTTTTCTTATGTTTATTGACCATAACCATCCTGTGAATATCCTGTTCATATCTTTGACTTTTTAAAATCAGGGTTTTTTGTTTTTGTTTTTGTTTTTGTTTTGTCTTTTCTTCTTCTTCTTCTTATAGGTTGATATATCCAGGTGTCTTAGTCAGCCTGGGCTGCCATAACAAAATACTATAGAGTGGGTAGCCAGACAACAAAAATTTCTCACAGTTCTGGAGGCTAGAAATCAAAAATCAAGATGCCAGAAGGGTTAGTGTCTGGTGAGGGTTTGTCACTTGGGTTGCAGACAATGCCTTCTTGCTGTGTTCTCATAGGACCTCTCCTTAGTGTGTGCAAGGAGGGAGGGAGAGAGACAGAGAGAGAGAGAGAGAGAGAGAGAGAAGGTCTCTTCCTCTTCTTAGAAGGCCATCCGGTTGCATGAACATGGTAGCTCACACCTGTAATCCCAGCATTTTGAGAGGCCAAAGAGGGAGTATTGCTTGAGCCCAGGAGTTTGAGACTAGCCTGGGCAACATAGGGATACACCATTTCTACAAAAAATGAATTTTTTCTAAAAAAGGCTACCAATCCTATTGGATTAGGATCCAACCCTTATGATCTCATTTAACCTTAATTACCTCTTAAAAGCTCTGTCTCTAAATATAATCACATTGGGGGTTTGTGCTTCAATATATGAATTCAAGAGAGAACACAATTCAGTCAATAACACCAGGATACCATTCTTTTGCCTGTTATATGTGTTTGCATTATGTATGTGTATGTGTGCACATATGTGTATGTGTGTATATATGCACATACACATATATATCTGCAGATGCAAATATTTTCTCCTAGACCATAACTTTTGTTAATGACGTCTTTTGTCATAGATAAGATTTTAGTTTTGATGTGTCAAATTTGCTCACCTTTTTCTTTGTTTTTATGACTTAAGGAGGCCTTCTGTACATGTAAGATCATGAACATACTATTTGTTCATCTATATTTTAGTAGAACATGCCTATAAGCCTTTTGAGCCTGATGCCCTTGCATGGACTGGAAGGAGGTACACATTTAACTAATAGTTCAGTTTCTGTAATGGTTTATTAATGTTTTCTATTCTTCCCAAAGTTTGGTTATTTATATTTTCTTAGAAAATCCTTTTCATCTGGGTCTCAAATTCCTTGTTATAAAATTGTGCATAGTGCTCCTTTTAAGTGATCTTTTATATCTGTACAAATCCCTTTTCATGCCTGATATTGCCTATTAAGCAATAGGTAATACTGGTTTTTCTTTTTATTAACTATTCTAGCCAAATAATTTTTACCTTAAAACAAAGCAAATCTGTGGTTTTATTGATTAATTTTGCTGAGTTTTTTTCCTGTTTCAGTAATTTCTGCTTCCATATTAATTTATTTCTTACTATTTACTTGGCTTTATTTTGTTTTGCTTTTCAATCTTTTTTATATTTCTAATAAATAAATGTAAGACTAGAGTTTTTTTCTGAAAATTGCTTTGGCCATATTCCATTAGTTTTGATGTGTGCTACTTTCACTGTGGTCTAGTTCTAAGTGGTTTACTTCCTCTTTAAACCAAGAGGTCTTTAGAAGTGTGTTTTTATAGTTAAGGAGTATAGATTTTTTTTTTTTTTGGCTCCCTGTTAATTTCTAAATTTATTGCATTCTGGCTAATGAATGTGGCCTGTAAAATAACAGTTTTTAAAAATGTGTTGTAATTTCCTTTGAGCATAGAACAGAGTCAAATTTGGTGAACTTTGCATGTGTGTTTTTAACTTTTAATAATGGTGTAATATTGAATGTTTTTACCTTCCAGTGTTGTCTTAGCTTCTGAGATAGGCAGTTGCATTTGGTAGCAACACCATCACTGATTCATTTAATCAAAAGATATTTACTGAGTGCCTGCAAGGTCTTGGGACTGGAGGTTGACAGTCTGGTCAGAGAAGCAGACACAAATTACAGTAAAATAATGGGCTGAAGAAAATGCATTTGATTCTGTGAGTGTGTATCTTATATAAAAGAACATGGGCTAGGGAAAACTTCTCTGCTGTTTGAACAGAGACAAAGGGTGAGTGGACATTAACTAAGAAAAGGGCTGGGGAAGGGCAGAGAAGAGTGTCCTAGGCTGAACAGCGCGGTGTCGAGCCCTGTGTACAACACGAACAAGGTGTGCTGGTGTCCCAGAAGTGCCAGCAGGTCAACGTGACTGCAGCTCCCCAAGCAAGGTATTTGTGGTGCAGAAGGAAGCTGGGAAGTATGTGTGTGTGTGTGTGTGTGTGTGTGTCTGTGTGTGTGTCTGTGTGTGTGTCTGTGGCGCACACGGTGGGAGAGAGGGTGCAGAATACGTAAGGTCTTATGAAGAATTTGTGCCTTTATTTAAGAAAAAAGAGAAGTCCTTAAAAGAGTTAGGTAGGCTCACAGGATCGTATTTGTGGTTTTAAAGGGTAACTTAAAGAGGAACTCTTAATGTTTGTTTGCTCTGAGGACCTTTTTTTAAATTCCTTGATGTTGTACATAGAAAGGTTCTATTTCCCGTCTCTCTCCCTGTCTTTAGTGAAGTTGACCTAGTTGTGTGAAGGAAATAATTACCCACTGTGTCTTCTATTAGCAGCCTGAAAATTACGCTGTGCCTTTGGAACCAAGTCTGCACTCATTGTAGATTAGAATAATAATAACAACAATCGCATAATAAGAAGATGAATACCATAGCAGCTATTTTATTTTTTAGAACTTCCTATGTGTCCTAGCTCTGTGCTAGGTCCCCTACAAGTTTTATCTCGTTGCATCTTCACTATAACCTTAGGAGACTTTTTTTTGGGGGGGGGGCTACTACACATCAATCACCTGCACTCAACAAACAGGTTGCCCTCAGTGGCTTTCATTTGCCCAATATGACTGTCCTCAAACATACACACACACCAGTGCACACACACACACACACCTCTGACTACATCGGGGATGCGCCCTGGGCCCAACTGCAACCATTGTCTAGCCAGCAGTTCATAGGATATCAAAAAACAAAAGGCTTTATTCTCATTAATTTTTGCTTTTAGAAAGTTCAAGTTGAGAAAATAGAAGAAATCTATTGTCCTCTATTTCACCGTAGAAACTGAAGTTGAAAGATAAGAAGCCAGAGAGGCCATGACGAGCTTGAGTGCATTGAGGGCATGAGTAAGTCATGGACATGAGTAAGCAGAAGCCGTGAGGGAGAGAAAGGATACCTGGGGTGAGGGAGAGAAACTACTTCATGAAGGAAAGAGAAGCAGACCAAGGGTAGGCCAACACTTGGAGAGTGGTATTAATAGCCACATAGGTGGTGAGCACTAGAGTAAAGATCCACACATTCCTGCCCTGGGGCTCAGTTCCAGTCTCTGAAAGACCCCCATGCCCTACTCCTCAGAATGGTTCCTACTCTCAGCTTTCATGGGATGCCTACCCTCATCAGGCCTTATCAAAACCTCATTACCAGAGTGAGCCTAACAGAATCTCTGCTCCATGGGACCCCAGAGACAGTGTTCCCATGTTCAGATAAAGAAACAGATTCAGAGAGGGAAAGTAACTTGCCCAAATTGCCACAGCTAATTGGCAGAGCAGAAACTTGAACTAAAATTAGTGTGATTCTTTTCTTGAGACAGGTTCTTTCTCTGTTGCTCAGGCTGTAGTGCAGTGATGCAATCATAGCTCACTGTAGCCTCAAACGCCTAGACTCCAGATATCCTCCCTCCTCAGCCTCCCAAGCAGCTGAGACCACAGGCATGTGCCACCACACAGGGCTAATATTTTATTTTAGATATGAGTTCTCACTATGTTGCCCAGGCTGGTCTTGAACTCCTGGGCTCAAGCAATGCTCCCACCTTGGCCTCCCAAAGTGTTGGAATTACAGGCATGAGCAACCATGCCTGGCCCAATTAGTGTCATTCTAAAGCCCCCATCCTTAAACATACTGTTTATTAAAGCAACAGAAATTATCTGCTCAAAAATATTTGCTCAGACTATTAACTTTTCCTTACCTTGAACACAAACACAAGGGGCACACAACTTTCATATCAATAAGCCAAGTTATTTGGCATTATTGACCTGTTGTTAAATCTTACGACTTAACACTCTTTAACATAAGAGGACTTTTGCTTTTGAGTGGACTGCACAAAAAATAGTTTTTCCACCTCGTCAGCTACGGGGTGGGTAGGGAGTGAGGAGGCAGCAGGGATACTTTAGGAGATAGGTTTATGTAGTTTTATCCAAGAACTGGATAAAACCTTGCAGGTTTGGGACCTGATTATCCATTCACTCAGGGAGTGGTCCCGGGAGAACTGCGTCATGCAAAAGAAACTCCCAGTAATCATTAGAAAGTAGATTGCTGCATATCTAGTTTTCAGTAGTGGAGGAACAGAGCTGGGTGCCTAGTCAACTCTAATTGTGGTCCTCTACGTAGAATGTTCTCTCCCAAGTGCAGTGGCAAGGGGAGTGAATTCAGAACAATTTTAATGAGTACCTGGAAAGTAGGGAGCTTCATGCCTGCAGAAAGAGTAAAGGTCAGAACGATAGTTACACAGGCCTGAAGCAGGTCGCCTTCACTGTGACAGCAGGAAATCTCTGAGGCTGCAGCCTCCTGGTAAATACAACAGCCTTTTCCCTCCAGAGACCCTCTCTCTGTGTGTACATGCCTCTCCTGACTTGCCACAGGTCCTATGCAGAGGACAGAGGGGATCCTCATCTTTCGTGTCGCTTCCCAGCAAGCCCTTGTGTGTCCTGAGCCCATTGCAGCTGAAGATATTTCGTTTCCTGATATTTGCCAAATCACCTTTTACCTAGTTTCTGATATTTATTCTGTCAAGATGGGGCACAGCCATGACCCGAGAGATGAGACAGACCCACACAGGCAAGACCAATTAGGCAAAGCCCAGTAAGATGCAACAAACCCCAGTGGCACGTCCCATGAGGGTTGGCAGACTGACAGTGTCACAGAGTCCAACAGCAAAGATCAAAATCAGCCCTGAGGGCGGCCTGAGTTTCCCCAGATCGTCACCTGTGTTCATCTTCACTCTCCCCGTATCCATATATCCACTACACCATTACAGAACACTTCTCTTTTAAAAGTTCACTTTCAAACTTAATTAAATAAAACTTACATACTTATAGTATATGAAAAATGGCCATCACGTATCAAGATAAAAGAAAAACATTTTAAAAATAGATGTAACAATTAGGGTAGAAACTGTTTGTCCACTTTTCTTCTAAAACCACAGCTCATTGCCATTGGGGCCTGCATCACCTTGGCCTGGCTTGGAACTGGAGTGTCTAGGCCTGACCGAGAGAGTCAGCCCTGCTTGTGGGTCCTGTTTCCACCATGTGTAGTTGAGAGACTGCAGAGAGGTGACTGAAGCCTGCTTGGGTCTCATTTCCTTCCCTGTCAACTGGGGATAACAATAGCCCCTGCCCCACAGGGCTGCTGCAAAGACTGGATGGAATATTGCAGTGCAAGCACTCAGCACAAGGCCGTGCACATACTATACCCTCCAGCCGTGCTGTTCATTTTTCCAGAGTTTTCCCTATAAGTGCGCTTGTGACTATCAATCACAATCCGTGTTTGGGAAATGTGGTTTTTATAGGTAAGACCACAGTTCTATTTGAAATAGAAGGCTTCTAAGAAATAGTGAGAAAGGTGTAATTATAGTGCGAATATAGCTAAGGATGAGAAACAGTAAACTAAAACAATGGTTCATGGGGATCAATTAGCTAAAACAAAATGCATCTTTACGAAGAGAGCCCAGGCCGGCCTCCACCAGAAGGCATTGGCCAGGTTCTTCCAGCACAGCTCATCACCTCAACAGCTCTTTAGAGAAACCTAACTTTAGGTTATTGACAGCACAGGCTAAAGGCAAATCAGGTCTGTTTGAGTCCAGAGTCCAGAGTTCTCTGCCCCACCTGGCACAGCATCAGCCTTAGGTCAGGGATTCCCAGGTGCAGCCAGAGGTGTGGCTCTCTGCAGTCAGGACACCTCCCAGCCAGACAGAGGGTGAACTTTATGACAAGTCCCCAGGCTCTGCACAGCCACCTGCCTTTTTTCTGCCATGGAATTTTCCCAGAACTTCCTTCCTATACACCTAGTGCCTGCCGCCTTAACCTCCTCTCACTTAGCTCCATTTCCTTGCCTTCTCAGCACCCAGCTTCCCTCTACATGCCCAGAGTTTATTCACAGTGTCCTTTCACCCTTCTTCCAGGACACTAATCTACCTTTCTCCTTTCCTCTCCTTCCCTTCCCTCTCCTCTCCTGTCTCTCTCTCTCTCTCTTTCTTCCTTCCTTTCTTTCTCTTTCTTTCCTCCTTCCTTCCTTCCTTCCTTCCTTCCTTCCTTTCTTTCTTTCATTCTTTCTTTCTTTCCTTCTTTCTTTCTCCTTTTTCTTTCCTTTCTTTCTCTCTCTTTCTTTCATTCTTTCGTTCTTTAGTTTTCTTTCTCATTCTTTCTTTCCTTTATTTCTTACTTTCTTCCTGCCTTTCTTTCTCCACAGGGTCTCACTCTGTTACTCAAACCAGAGTGCAGTGATGCAATCATGGCTCATTGCAACCTCAAACTCCTAGGCTCAAGCAATCCTCCTGTCTCAGCCTCCCAAGTCACTGGGATTACAGGGGCGAACCACTACAACTGATTTCTCTTTCTTTTCTTTCTATTTCATCCCTTCTCCTTCCCTCCCTCCTTTCTTCCCTCCTCTCCTCTTCTTTCCTTCTTCATAAATGTTTATTGAGCTCTTCCTCACAGGCTAGGCATTATGCTAGGACTTACAGTCCTTATGGGATTTTTAATTGAAAATGGAAGACCAACACTAACAAATAATGGCTCAAATAATTTAATTATACCAGCCACAATGCTGTAAATAAGAGATCTAATGGGCCACATTCTACAGAACTCATTGGACACTTTCCACATCTGATTGTCTTTTTGCATGCACTACATCGTGAGTACTCCACAGAGCTGGGAGTATGGCTGCTTTGCATTGTGTCTCCAGTGTCTAGTACAGAGCCTGGTATATACACAGTATGCGTTCAATCGTTATTTGTGACATAAACAAATAAGACACTTTAAAATATAACTAGTGTTAGTGCTAATGTGACCTGGGAGTCATGAGGGGAAGTCAGAGGTGGCAAATCTCTTTCTTCATCTCATATTTCCCCCATCCTACCAAGAGCCAAATAGATGCCAAAGGTGTAAGGTGTCATGGAATGGATGAAGGCCAAGTGTTATCCTAGATTCTCTGCCCTTAGCTCTCCCTGTCAGGAAAGCCCACCCAGGAATGCTCTTCTACAAACCCCTGGCTTTTGGAGAAATAAAGGGACAATCACTCTGCCCAGTTTGTGTCTTCTTTGCCATGGATGCAGTTTCACTCCCCTCACCATGGCTGGATAAATGTCTTCCAATTCATGCCCACTTCAGGATTTTTATTCTGACCACCTCAATTATGTAGGAAGCAGCAGGTTATTGAAAATCATGTAAATATGATCAGAAACTAGTCAGAAAATAATCAAATATGAAAATAAATGAGTCAAAATGGGGAGTGTGACTTTGGTAGTAACAGAACAGAGAAAATAGTCAATATATTTACTCCATCACATTTTCACTTCATACAGGGAAATAATAAGGTATTGAAGGATGGGAGGAAACAAATGAACAAACAAAACAAAACCCTAAAGTTATAGCAAAGGCATCATTTTAGAGTTGAGTGGTGAAGGATCACAGTACCAGTGTCCGTCTTCCTTGTTACCAGGCCCTCAGGAAGGTGTGCAGAATCCACGGTGGGTGAGGAGGCCACACGAGAAGCTTGGACATCATGCAGAGAGATGGCAGGCCTTGAGTTGTCCTTGGATTTGACTGGGCTCTGATAAGAATTTGTCCAACTTGGCAATGATGTGGCAATAAATTCCATGGATTTGAACAGCACAATGCATGCCAAGAAAAGTTGTTTTTTTGGCAGAATTACCCTCATTGTTACTGTGTGCTGGACAAAAAAAAAAAAAAAGTGCAAGAGATTCAGTATCTCTAACTTTCTCGCTCAGGACACAATCATTTCTTTTCACAGGGGAAGGAGGCTGATGTAAGGGCTGGTGAGGTCACCTTCAACACACTGTGTGCATCCCAATGATGCTAAAAACGGATGTATGCTCAGCCCACTTTAGGACAAGCAATAGCTCAGTGTGCTAGCTGCTCATAAACTCAGAACTTTATCTTATCTTATCAACGATATTAGTGACCTCTCAGTCAAAAGCCCTGAACTAGTTCAACTCGACTGCTTGCAGGGTGAGACTGAAGTCAAGACACAGGAAATGACTTACTGAGAAAACATTACTAAGTTAGCAGCAGAGCTATGACCTGCTTACCAGGTACCTTCTTCATTGCCATTGCCTTGCTGGTAAGTGCTCAATAAATGTTAGCCATCACCATCATCATCATCATTACTTTTATGTGCTCATCACACACCCTGTGGCAATTAGATGGCATTTTCCCACTTTATGAATACAGAAACCAGGAAATTTACCCACAGTCTCACAGCTAGCCAGTGTCACAGCAGGCCTGGAACCCAGGTGTGCTGACTGTACCTCCAGTACTTTCTCCAACCCTCATCCTGACTGTCCTGTCATCTGTGTATTGTGAAGCTATGACTCCAGAAAGGCCCTGTGAATGTAAAAGTCTAGAGAATAGCTCTTCCAACATTGTCTTCATAGCAGCTATGCTGTTGGGATGCTCTGCAGCAGACAAAATAAAAGGTCTCTTCAAAATAAGTATTTTCTTCCTCTCTGGTGAGTGCACAATGGGAATGGTGCTGGAAAGCATAAGCAGTTCAGCCATGATTCTTAAGAGGTGGGCAAAGGGCAGGTCCCAGGAGGCCCCATGTCATAACAAGGTGCTTGGTTTTATCCTACCAACACAGCCTTTGAAGGAGCTTAAGTCAAGGATACTGTGGCAAAAATTTGCGCTTGAGATATTTCACACTGGCAATTGGGTGTAGGATGGATTTGAGAGGATTGGGGGAGAGGCAGAGAGAACTGAGGGGAGGCAGCAGCTTAGGTGAGGTGGTCTTAGGAAAGGAATAGAGGGGCAGATTCAGGATTGACTTGAAATCGAGATGAGAAAGAGGGAAAAGATGAGTCTCTAGTTTTTAGCTTTGATGACTGATTGGGGTAAGAGTAGAAGAAGAGTTGGATTGAGGGCAAGACCAAGAGTCCTGCTTTAGACATATTGAGATAGAGGGGCCTAAAGGATATTTTAGCCTTGATTCCCTCAAAGGAAGGCCTGGGACAAAGGTTTATGCATGGGTCATTTATCTGGGAAGTGATCCCAAGAACAGAGAGAGGGATCAGAGAGGGTGGGATAAAGAAAAATGGAAAAATGGAAATCCAATAATAGATGTGTATCATATTGGTCACTGCCATGGGACACTGATGCTGGGCCCCTGGGGCCTCCAAGAAGCATTTATGCTGCATTTCAGGACTGTCCACCTGAGAGATAAGAGGGAGAAGCAGTTATCCACTGATTCTTGTACTTCAGTAATCCAGATTCCCCAAGAAGTGTTATCCCCAACCCCCACCCCCAACCTGGGTTGCACACGCCCAGGTGTTAGCCATGTCCACAGGCAACCAGAATGACTAGGCATCCAGGGGCATCCGAGAAGCCCCAAGGCACAAAGCGTGATCTAAGCCAATTGTTGAAAAAAGTTAGTCAGTGTAAACTGAGTCAAAGCCAGGGTAGGACCACTTGCCAGAGCCACTAATGGACTCAGAAATGAGGCCAAGAGGATATGAGAGGGTACATAAAAGACACCCAAGTCATGGGACCTCCAGGTGGGTCTCTCCAGGTGGCAGATATGTAAATCAGCTAAAGTTCTGGAGAGAGACTGGGGCTGGAGACAAAGATTTGGCAACCATCAGTATCCAGGAGGTTGTTGAAACCATGAGGAAATTGTGTCAAGTGCCCATAGCAGTGAGCTGAGGACAGCATCCTGGAGGACCCTGAAGGAATGAGCAGAGGAAAAAGACCCCACAGAGGCACAGGAATGGCCAAGGAGATGTAAGCAGAACCTGGAAAGGATGGTGCCATGGGAGCCAAAGTAGTAGCAGGTGACAAGGAGATTAGCTGAAGATCTCCAGTGCATCACACAATTTAAAAAAAAAAAAAAAGTCCCACTGCGTTTGGCAGTCAGGAGGTCCTGGGTGCCATCACCAAGAGGAAGCTCAGTACAACTGCAGTGTCAGAGATCAGAAAATATTGGCCTGAGGTATGAATGGGAGGTAGAAATCTGGAAAGAATAGTGTACCTTGCTTAGTGCCCTTGAACAGGGCAGTGAAGGCGTGAGCACAGGTACAGAGAGAGGCCAGATTTTAGATCAGAGAGTGAGGCACTGAAGGGGATCAGGCAAAACAGCCTTAGTTTTCTTGGTGAAGCAATATTCTGTGCTGAAACTGTAGGAGTACGTGAACTAGAACTGGCCATCTTCCTTCTCCTGCTGAGAGCTTTCCACCTGACGACCGCAGGAGAGAGTTGGGCTAGCACTGAGTTATTTCTATCAGTCAGTCAGTCCCTATTTACTGAATAGTAACAATGGACAAGGCCTTATGAAACTGGGCACAATACAAGATGATTGCAATTTATTCCCTACTCATAAGGAGCTTTCAAGCATAGGTCCTGGGATTTTGTTACACACCAGAGGAAGCTAGAAACTGGACTGGGTCAGGGATGCTGGCCTGTGTCCAGGAGTCTATTCATTTATTCAACAAATCTACTGAGGGATTATTATGTGCCAGGCACTGATCCAGGTGTTCAAAATATATCAGAGAACAAAACAGACAACAATCCTGGTCTCATGGACCCTATATTCTAATGGGGTCTATTTGTCAGGGAAGTCTAAGTTATACTGTATTAATAAGGGCAGAGTATCAGTGGCTTAACAAAACAATGCTTTATTTATTTCTCTTTTGCACAAAATCCATTGTGATTCTACAAGGCAATTGTCTTCCAGGCAGTGACTCAGGGGCCCAAGAGGTTTCATCTGAGGTTCCTTAGTTGTGATGGCAGAGGAAAGTGAGACCGAAGAACTTCCCATGGGCTTGTCAGTACTGCAGCTTGGAAGTGACTCACAATGCTTTCTCTCAGGACTAATCACACAGCCTCGCCTACAACAAAAAAACTAGCAAATGTGAGGAAGCACATGGAATATTTGGTGAGTGTTATTGTCTCTGCCACATGGCAGGAAGCAGTCTATAGGCTAAATAAATAAATCAGTTACATACTGTATTAGAAAGGTATGAGTGCCATGGAAAAAGCAGAGGAGGGTAAGGAGGATTGGTCATGTTGGGGGAAGAAGTGGAGGGGGTGGAATTTTTAAATCAGGGTAGTTGGTGTGGCCTCAATGAGAAGGTGGTATTTTGAGCAAAGCCTTCAAGGAGATGAGAGAGCCATTTGGATCTCTGAGAGAAGAATGATCTCAACAGAAAGAATAATCTGTGCAAAGGCCCTGAGGCAGGAAGATGTCTTAGAGGGTGAAAGAGGTAGAAAGTGAGGTTAGAAAGGTATGGGGGGAGGGGCAGGGAAGGTGAGGAACAGCATGCAGATTGGGTATGGCCTTAGAAGCCCTTTGTCAAAACTTTGGCTTTTACTTTGAAAGAAAAAGGGAGCTGCTATTGGGTTGAGGCAGAGGACATCACGGCCTGTCCGAGGCATTCATATGATCACCCTGGATGCTCTGTGGCAGATAGGCTATAGGGCAAAGTGGCTGCAGGGAGAACCAATAGAAGGCCATTGCAGTCATCTAAGTGGAAGACAATGCTGGCTTGGACCAGACTAACAGTTGTGAGAGGCAGTTGAATTCCAGAAAGTTTTGCAGGTCTGTGCCCTCACGTGGAGTTTCTGGGGCTCCCTTGCTTCATCAGTCATGACCTGTTAGGTCACAACAGCCCAGAGCCCCTGAAGTGAATTTATCTCTGAGTCCATGGTGGGCTTGGAGGGGAGGGGAGGGGCCAGAAAGGTGTCTCACGCCAGGTGGATTCTAAGGTACAGCTTCCGGAGCACGGGGACGCTGCCTCAGGAGTGATCACACTCACTTCCCACAAGACCACAAATCCGCAGTCTCCCAAGCATACGTCCTGGGAATTTGTCTTAAATCATGGAAATACACTCTGAAGAGCAAGACTGAGGCCTGCAGAGTCCAGGTGACTTAAAAGTCCAGGGTCGGAATCAGAAAAGGAGCCCCAGTGGCCTGTTCCCAGCGAAGAGCTGCTGCTTCCTTCCCTGCCCTTCTCTCCTGTGACCGGCTCTTGTCAAGATTAAGTTACGTGGGAGAGGGGAAGAGGGGCCGAGGGAGTCTTTCTTATTCTCTCCTTCCCACCCCAATCCTCTGCTCTTGGCACAGGCTTTGGGAGTCTCTGCACTCCAACAGAACTTTCGGATTTTTTTTTTTTTTTTTTTTAGACAGTCTCGCTTTGTCGCCCAGGCTGGAGTGCAGTGGCACCATCTCGGCTCACTGCAAGCTCCGCCTCCTGGGTTCACACCATTCTCCTGCCTCAGCCTCCGAGTAGCTGGGACTACAGGCACCCGCCACCACACCTGGCTAATTTTCTGTATTTTTAGTAGAGATGGGGTTTCACCGTGTTAGCCAGGATGGTCTCGATCTCCCGACCTCGTGATCCACCCGCCTCGGCCTCCCAAAGTGCTGGGATTACAGGCGTGAGCCACTGCGCCTGGCAACCAACAGAACTTTCTAGGTCTTGCGCTATGAAGGACATGGAATGTATCAGGATGTAGAGCAAAACAGCCCATGCAGTGGTCAGAGATGGAAAGCACAGACTTTAGTATCAGAAGAACTGTTCCAATCCCAGTTTTTTCACACAAATCAGTTCTAGTACCTTGTGAGGTTACTTTACCTTAGTGAGTTTTCATTTCCTTGTCTGAAAAATGGGGATAATAAACCTATCACATAGGATTGTTATAATAAATGTAATATGTATAAAATGTCTAGCTCAGAATAGAAGGATGTGACAGATTCTGTAAACTGGTTCATTCAAAATTCCTTCTCAAACACCTGCTTCTTTGCTTTCTTCTACTAGAAAGTGTCGAAGAGGAAATACCCAAACTCCCAGCTTCCCTGCAGCTGGGGGTGGCCAGAAAACTCAGCTATGGCCAATGAGATGTAAGCACCTGTCTTTGACTTTTCCAAATAAAAAGGCAAAGCTTCTAAGCCACAAGTCCTTGCTCCTCTCTCTCTGTCTGCCCCGCTCTCTCGTCTTGCCTGGAACTTAACTGTGAGGCTGGAGGTAGAGCAGCCCTCTTGATGTCATGAGGCAACAAGCACAAGGTTCACAGCTAAGGTTGATGACGTGGCAGGAAAGAAAGAGCTGGGTGCTTGATGACCTTGTTGAGCTACTGTTTTACTCCAGGGCTACCTGGCCAGGAGTTTATTGTTGTGTGAGACAAGTACCTCATTGCTGGTATTCACTTGTGTTTGTTAGGGTCGGTCTTTGCTATACGAAACTGACGGAATCAGTAATAGCTATCAATATTGTCATCCTCATCATCATTATAAATGTTCTCCTACAACTTCAACACCCTCAGGCTCACAGCTGTAGATTTTACTATCTAATTGGGGAGCCAATTAAGATTTATTAATCAAATCCTTAAAGTAGCATTTCCCAGGGAGTATTCCAAGAATGTTGGCTCTTACAGATATTAATAGGTCTTCTGAGAAAAAAATAAATTAAAAAAAGCTCTATTGTCAAGTTAACAAATGACGATACTTGGCAGAAATCTTTGTAACAGTGGTTTTCGAATTGGTATACTATTTAAGGACTTTCCAAAGGATTTTAAAGAATCAATTACAGATCCTGAACTATGATAAGTACACTTTCCAAAAATTAGTATGTGTGAGGACTCTTTCTTCTGGTCCTCCTCTCCTTCCTGTTCCCTCATTAGGTTCATTCTCCCACCTTACAAAAGAAAATCACACCTCACTGCTGATCAGACTTACCCTGGGGCATTGCTCCAAGGTGGAGAAATCTCTGTGCTACAAAGGGACAACTCCAGGCTGGGTACGGTGGCTTGTGTCTGTAATCGCAGCACTTTGGGGGCCTGAGGTAGGCAGATCCCTTGAATCTAGGAGTTCAAGACCAGCCTAGGGAACATGGCAAAACCCCGTCTCCACAAAAATTAAAATTAGCTGGGCGTGGTGGCACACGCCTGTAGTCCCAGCTACTTGAGAGGCTGAGGTGTGAGGATGGCTTGAGCCTGGGAGGCAGAGGTTGCACTGAGCTGTGATGGTGCCAGTGTGCTCCAACATGGGTGACAGAGTGGCGCCCTGTCTCAGAAAGAAAAAAAAAAAAAGGACACTTCCAAATATCAGTATTTAACTGGATTCTAATGACTGAGAAATAAATCTATTTGCAAGTCATGTGGCTTTCAATTCTTTGCTTTCAACAGAATTGAAGGACATCAGAACTGAATTGTCAGCTGATAGATCATTTAAAACATCTTTGTGGTAAATGACTATGTGATCTTTGTCTAATATCTATGAAATAGTTTAAACTTAAGTGTCAATGCTATGAAATCTATTCCTACCTACTTACTTATGTGAACACAGTTTTTCAATGTTTCTATCCGTAAAAATAACAAATAGAAATAGAATGGATACTACACCCTGTCTCATTCTAACAATAAATAATTCATTCATGGATACAAGAAGCAGTTGAGAAAAAGTGCTACTCAGCTTATCAATAAATGTAATTCTAATAAAAACTTTTTATATTTAACAATTATGCATAAAAATTTATAGTATTTCTCTGTTGTATTGGTTAATTCTGTGCTAATCATAACTAAATTCGGAAAAAATTTAAAACACTTGCAGCATTTAACTTACATATTTATTTTGTTTTGTTGTAGAAGTAGAAAAGTATAATAGAATGATAAATAAAAGGTTTTTGAACATTATTATTTTAGAATGAACTTCTGTGTAGAAGTGAAATGGAGAAAAATGATGAAAATGTATATTAAAGAGCTTGTTTATATAATTTTAACTAGATGATGGATATCAAATCACCCTAGTTGGTATCAAATTGCTGTGGTATTAAGAATTCTTTGACATTTAAGAGAGTAATGTAAGAGCTTTATTTTTTTTTTTTTTTAATTTTTTGAGACAGAGTCTCATTGTGCCACCCAGACTGGAGTGCAGTGGTGCGATCTCAGTTCACTGCAACCTCCGCCTCCTGGGTTCAAGCAATTCTCCTGCTTCAGCCTCCCAAGTAGCTGGGATTACAGGCACAGACCACCACGCCTGGCTAATTTTTGTATTTTTAGTAGAGACATGGTTTTGCCATAGTGGCCAAGCTGGTCTCAAACTCCTGACCTCAAATGGTCCCCCCACCTTGGCCTCCCAAAGTGCTGGGATTACAGGCATGAGCCACCATGCCCAGCCAAGAGAGTAATATAAGAGCTTTATTTTTAAATAGTACTATTTATAATATGTCAGAAGTTACCTCCTTAATTCAACAGCCTTTTATGCTAAAAATTCTCAATAAACTAGGTATTGATGGGACATATCCCAAAATAATAAGAACTATTTATGACAAACCCACAGCTAATATCATACTGAATGGGAAAAAACTAGAAGCATTCCCTTTGAAAACTGACACAAGACAGGGATACCCTCTCTCACCACTCCTATTCAACATAGTGTTAGAAGTTCTGGCCGGGGCAATCAGGCAAGAGAAAGAAATAAAGCGTATTCAATTAGGAAAAGAGGAAGTCAAATTGTCCCTGTTTGCAGATGACATGATTGTATACTTAGAAAACCCCATTGTCTCAGCCCAAAATCTCCTTAAGCTGATAAGCAACTTCAGCAAAGTCTCAGGATACAAAATCAATGTGCAAAAATCACAAGCATTCCTATACACCGATAACAGACAAACAGAGAGCCAAATCATGAGTGAACTCCCATTCACAATTGCTACAAAGAGAATAAAATACCTAGGAATCCAACTTACAAGGGATGTGAAGGAACTCTTCAAGGAGAACTACAAACCACTGCTCAACAAAATAAGAGGACACAAACAAATGGGAGAACATTCCATTCTTATGGATAGGAAGAATCAATATTGTGAAAATAGCCATACCGCCCAAGGTAATTTATAGATTCAATGCCATCCCCATCAAGCTACCAATGACTTTCTTCACAAAATTGGAAAAAACTACTTTAAAATTCATATGGAACCAAAAAAGAGCCTGCATTGCCAAGACAATCCTAAGCCAAAAGAACAAAGCTGGAGGCATCATGCTACCTGACTTCAAACTATACTTCAAGGCTACAGTAACCAAAACAGCATGGTACTGGTACCAAAACAGAGATATAGACCAATGGAACAGAATAGAGCCCTCGGAAATAATACCACACATCTACAACCATCTGATCTTTGACAAACCTGACAAAAACACAAAATGGGGAAAGGATTCCCTATTTAATAAATGGTGCTGGGAAAACTGGCTAGCCATATGTAGAAAGCTGAAACTGGATCCCTTACTTACACCTTATACAAAAATTAATTCAAGATGGATTAAAGACTTAAATGTTAGACCTAAAACCATAAAAACCCTAGAAGAAAACCTAGGCAATACCATTCAGGACATAGGCATGGGCAAGGACTTCATGACTAAAACACCAAAAGCAATGGCAACAAAAGCCAAAATTGACAAATGGGATCTAATTAAACTAAAGAGCCTCTGCACAGCAAAAGAAACTACCATCAGAGTGAACAGGCAACCTACAGAATGGGAAAACATTTTTACAATCTACCCATCTGACAAAAGGCTAATATCCAGAATCTACAAAGAACTTAAACAAATTTACAAGAAAAAAATCAAACAACCACATCAAAAAGTGGGCAAAGGATATGAATGGACACTTCTCAAAAGAAGACATTTATGCAGCAAACAGACACATGAAAAAATGCTCATCATCACTGGCCATCAGAGAAATGCAAATCAAAACCACAATGAGATACCATCTCACACCAGTTAGAATGGTGATCATTAAAAAGTCAGGAAACAACAGGTGCTGGACAGGATGTGGGGAAATAGAAACGCTTTTACGCTATTGGTGGGACTGTAAACTAGTTCAACCATTGTGGAAGACAGTGTGGCGATTCCTCAAGGATCTAGAACTAGAAATACCATTTGACCCAGCCATCCCATTACTGGGCATATACCCAAAGGAGTATAAATCATGCTGCTATAAAGACACATGCACAGGTATGTTTACTGTGGCACTATTCACAATAGCAAAGACTTGGAACCAACCCAAATGTCCATCAGTGATAGACTGGATTAAGAAAATGTGGCACATATACACCATGGGGGAAGGGAGAGAGAAGGTCAAGTGTTGAAAAACTACCTCTTGGGTACTATGCTCACTATCTGGGTGATGGGGTCAATCACACCCCAAATCTCAGAATCATGTAATATAACCATGTAACAAACCTGCACATGTACCCCCGATCTAAAATAAAAGTTGAAATATTTTTAAAAAAGAAAATACAGTCCATAATAAACAGCTTCAAAGAGAAGTACATTTGAAGAACAAAATACAGAAAAAAAAGAGGATAGGGCTCATAACAAAAAGCAAATTAAACATGTTGCCAGTGAGGCTGAAGAGAAAAAATAGGCAATGACAAAGCGATGATCGCTACACTTTCCACCCCAGCTGTCTTTTGTAGACTATATTTTCTATTTTTATGAGATACATATGTTGGGGCCCTGCAGTTCTAGAAAGGGATGGAAAAGGCAAAGAATAGCAATCAAGAATAATAAAGAGCTGATTTTGAGAGGCCTGGATACATCTTAAAGCAGTATATTTACTAAAAGATTTACGTTTCTGTCTAAATGTAACAGGAAGTCAAATGGCAACCCAAGGCATGTTTTAGAAAGAGCCAAACTTTGAGGAGGAAATTATTTAGGGTACTTTAGGATGTATTTCAATTATTTTGAAAGGATTAGCTTTAGTAAAGGATCTTTGGTGATCAAATTCCTGCTGAGATTTCTTCCACTATATAAAAGAAAAAAATACAATAAAAGGAAAATAAAATGTGGGGTTAAAATGGCATTACTGGGTTGGATGCGGTTGCTTATGCCTGTAATCTCAGCACTTGGGGAGGCCCAGGTGGGTAGATCACTTGAGGTCAGGATTTAGAGACCAGCCTGGCCAATATGGTGAAACCTGTCTCTACTGAAAATACAAAAATTAGCAGGGGTGTGCTGGTACACGCCTGTAATCTCAGCTACTCTGGAGGCTGAGGCAGGAGAATTGCTTGAACCTGGGAGGCAGACGTTGCAGTGAGCAGAGATCATGCCACTGCACTCCAGCCTTGGAGATAGAGCAAGACCCCATCTCAAAAAAAAAAAGACATTACCCCTATTATGAGATGATCAAATTGTAGCTTGCAATAATTCTAAAAACTAAAGGCAATTTTTGGTTATGAATTTAATAATAATGGATGTTTTTAATACTATTATACCAATAACCCCATTATTAACAATATTAATAACTGAGTATTCAGTTTTATACCTAGTTTTCAAGCTTCCTTTAAGCAGGAAATCCTAAAATCTCTGGTAGAGGTGTCAAAATGGTCTAAAGGCAGAGGGATGTGTAAAAGACTTGAGTGATTCACAGTAGAGATTTTTTATGTGTGAAAATTAAGGAGCCAAGTGAATATAGCAGGAAAGTGGATGTTTTGTTTCACTTAAGAAAGAATAGGCTTGCCTTTTTTGTTGTTGTTATTGTTTTTGAAACAGAGTCTTGCTTTGATGCCCAGGCTGGATTGCAATGGCATGATCTTGGCTCACTGCGACCTCCGCCTCCCAGGTTCAAGCAATTCTCCAACCTCAGCCTTCTAAGTAGCTGGGATTACAGGTGAGCACCACCACGTCTGACTAATTTTTGTATTTTTGGTATTGACGGGGTCTCACCTTGTTGGCCAAGCTGGTCTCAAACTCCTGACCTCAAATGATCCACCTGCTTTGGCCTCCCTAAATTCTGGGATTATAGGCGTGAACCACTGCGCCTAGCCAAGGCTTGCTTTGAATAAAACAAAACAATTGTCTCAATTGTGGTCCATTCCAACGTCATATATTAAGTGGTGGTACTTAAGTGGTGGGATCAAGTGTAAGGCTCTTCTTCATTGAACTTGTGCCTCCTTCTGCATCTGTGAGTCCACAACCTGCCCAACTGCACATGCCAGCCCTAATCCACTACCACCCATTCGCCTAAACTAGAAACCTGAGACTCATCCTTGATTTCCTCTCATATTTTTCTTATCCACTTCTCTCACTCCTGACTGCTTCTGCCTAGTTCCTAAGCTGCTCCTGGGAGTGTTTGTCTCCTAGCAAAGAGTTCAGTGAACATGTATAGAATAAACGACTTGATTTGATATGAGCTATGATTAACTCTTTTCTCCAGGAGTGCTCTGCCAAGAATGGACACAAAAACCCCTTGTTCTTTACACTGTTCCGGTGTCATCTCCTCCAAAAAGCCCTTTGGATTCTCTCCCTCCAATCAGACTGTGGCATGTGATCCTCCTCGGATTTTCCAAAGCAACCTGTGCTTACCTTTACCAAAAACACAATTCTGTCTCATAACAATCAATTTACTTGTCTGCATGCCCCACTAGATAGGGACTTTTACACTTGGATCCTCAACACCTCACATAGTATCTGGTACAAAGTGCAAAGACAGTGAATGTTGTTGAATGAGTGGATGAATGATATAGAGAGCAAGTGCAGTAAGAGGTACATACAAAGTAGTCCTAAGGGGAGACAGATGAAGGAGAAGCTAAATCTGCTGTTGGGGTGAGTAACAGTGCCATTTGAACTCGTCTTGAAGGATGAGTTGTAGTTCTCCTAGTGATCAAGGCAAGGAAGGGTATTCCAAGCAAAAGGAATAGCATGAACAAAAAAGCATGTAGGCAAGAAAGCACATGCAGTATTTAAGACCATGGGAGCCTGGCAAAGCTCAAGAACAGCTTTCAGTTCTTGAGCAGATGTGGAGGAAAGGAGGAAAGGAGGCAGATGTGGCTAGAAAGATTGTTTTAAACAAGTTATGAAAGACCTGGAAGTGATACCAAGGGGTTTGAAGATTATAAGATAGAAAGCCACTGAGGTTTTAAGGCAGCGTAATAACACGATCGGCTCTCTAAAAGAAAAAAATAATATTTTGTTTCCTTTTAAGTGACTAAAAGTCGTAGATCTAACTTCCTCCATTTTTAGATTTCTTGATACTTCATGAAAATAAAAAGCAAAGGCCAGCTGAAGCAATTCTTCCCCTGACTGTTCTGAATGAGGGATTTTTCTTTTTTCTTTTTCTTGTTTTCTGGCCAGTCACTTGGTGAAGTGAGTGCATCATACAGCTGGGAAAACACGAGCTTCTCGAGTGTGTTTGGCTTCTGAGCGATGTGGGTGAGCGCGAGTCTGGGCAGTGTGTCAGCTCCTTCCTGAAAGTCTGGGTCAAGGAAGTCCACAACACAACCTTGTTTACTTGATTTTGCTTTCAGCATTGAGAACGCTGGTTCTGATTACTGCAAAGGTGTATGTGGTTGCTGTTGGCTCACAACCCTGTAATTCCTTTGAAAAGATGATCTGATTGGGACAACTGTGACTTTAATACTTCAGTTCCTTTGGAAACATCCAGATGAAAAGTGATGCATTATTTTCCTAGTGGCTTTTGTTCCTGGCTAACCGTAATAGTTTGTTGGATCACTGGGAGTAATTCTGTGGAGCTGAGTTTGCTGGGCTGGCAGATTTGGAGGGGCAGACAAAGAATGACCAGTCTGAAGCAACCCTTCTAGCCCAGACACGTGAATTTACAACAAATGTTTACTGAGTGCTTGCTATGTGCCAGGCACTGCGTCAGGCACAGGGCAACGAAGATGAACAAGACAGTTTCTACTAGAGTCTGCTAACTAGACTGAAAACTCATCAAAAATAAATGCCAACTCTTAATTCTGTTTACATCCCCCAAATTGTCTAGGGCAGTAGCTAGCTTAAGGCAGAGTCCTCAACAAACACCAAATGTTTAAACAGGCATATTTCCGTTTTGCACAATAAATATTTACTAAGTGCCTACTAGGGGCTGACGTTGTGTTAGATAGTAGAGATACTCAAGACTACTAAAATAGAGCTCATACCCTCAAGCTGCTCACGGTCTGGTGGGGAAGACAGACATTAAAACATTAATCACCTGTAATCCCAGCACTTTGGGAGGCAGAGGTGGGTGGATCGCTTAAACCCAGGTGTTGGCACAACCCTGTCTCTACAAAAAAATCAAAAAATCAAAAATTAGACATAGTGGTGCACACCTATAGTCCCAGCTACTCAAGAGGCTGAGGCAGGAGGATCACTTGAGCCCAGGAGGTCAAGGCTGCAGTGAACAGTGTTCACACCACTGCACTCCAGCCTGGGCAACAAAGTGAGACCCTGTCTCAAAACAAAAAACAAAACCACAACGTTATTCAACTTGTACAAATTTGAACCCCCTAGGAGCCCCTGAGCCCCTGAAAAACACCTTGTCACCTAGTCCCTCCTCTGGAGCCCCCAGATCTCCCTACAAAATGGATAATAACTGGCATAGAAGAGAGACCCCAGGATGCTTCTCCAGCAAGCACTATGTCCATTCTGATTGGCCAATGCATTTGTCTTTTTGGTTGATAATATTTTAGTATCATTCCTGCAGGGGGTAATAGCAACACAAGACACTCAAGTATGGGAGACAGAGGAAGAAATAACCTCATCATATGAGAGGGCTGCCCAATTCCATTTGGAGGAGGAGTATGCAGCCTCCAGCAAAACCCAACACAGCAGGTGATATTTTGTTTCCAGGAGTCTACTCAAAACCCCTGCTCCCACAAGCACGAACACAAGTACAGACCCCAGCTTCAAGGAACTGTGTGCACCACAGGCGAGGGGGCACCTGAACATTGTTTCATATTAATAATTATGGATTTTAGGCTGGGCCTAGTGGCTCACATCTGTAATCCCAGCACTTTGGGAGGCTGAGGCGGGTGGATCATTTGAGGTCAGAGTTCAAGACCAGCCTGACTAACATGGTGAAACCCTGTCTCTACTAAAAATACAAAAATTAGCTGGGCGTGGTGGCAGATGCCTGTAATCCAAGCTACTCAGGAGGCTGAGGCAGGAGAATCACTTGAACCCAGGAGGCAGAGGTTGCAGTGAGCCGAGATCTCACCACTGTACTCCATCCAGCCTGGGTGACAGAGTGAGACCCTGTTCCAAAAAATAAATAAATAAATAAATAAATAAATAAATAAATAAATAAGGATTTTAGATACAGAAAATCATTTTGAAGTGATATTGTAAAATATTTTAAGTTTAAGGTTGATTTTTAAAATTTCTCCTATTCTAGGCCAATCGTACCCATAAGCATAGTGTTGTAGTCATCTTCATTCAAATAACCTCATTATCTACTGAGTCATTAGATGCACTTGTGAGCAGTAATGATCCAGAGAACCTCCTGAGAGCTAGTTTAAAAATCTTTGGAGCTAATCCTTCTCTCAGGGGAGACAGGAATGCTTTGGTTTCTTCTTCATGCCTTGCAAAGCTGAGGTTTAGAGTCTAGAAGTGTTACTGGAGCCTTCGATAGTCTGCAAAATTGAAAGAAAGGGAAGGAGAGAGAGAGGAAGAAAGGAAGGAAGGAGGGAAAGAAGGAGGGAGAGAGGGAGAGAAAGAGAGAGAAAGGGAGAAAAGAAAGAAAAAGATAATCAACCAGGTCAGGCTTGGTGGCTCCCACCTGGAATCCTAGCACTTTGGCAGGCTGAGCAGGGAGGATCACTCGAGGCCAGGAGTTTGGGACCAGCCTGAGCAACATGGCAAAACCCTGTCTCTACAAAAAATACACATACACACAAATTAGCAGGGTGTGGTGGTACTCACCTGTAGTCCTAGCTACTTGAGGGGCTGAGGTGGGAGGATTACTTGAGCCCAGGAGGTCAAGGCTGCAGTGAGCCGAAATCACGCCATTGACTACAGCCTGGGTGACAAAGTGAGATCTTGTCTCAAAACAAACAACCAACAACAACAACAGCAAACATACAATTCTTCCCAAACTTCTCAGATTTTCAAAATATTGACTCATGAGAACCTGAAGCTGAAAGGGTCAATTTTCCAGTTGCAAATCCGTCAAACAGCTTGTCTAAGCTGGTTTCTCAATAGGAACCACAATTATTCAATGGAAATATGTCAACTGTTCCTGGCTCAAATTTTATGAGAAAAACAATGAAACAAATTACACTTCTTGGTGTTTTATAGGTAATTGAAACTGGCTTCTTAAAATTCAGGTGTTGGACTGTTGAGAATATGCCTTCATTAACTCTTTTGTTTTTACCTCCTTTCACTCAAGGCAGGATTTCATAATACTGATTATTTAAAAATAAATTAGTGGGTCAGGCACGCTGGCCCACGCCTGTAATCCTAGCACTTTGGGAGGCCAAGGTGGGCTGATCACTTGAGCTCAGGAGTTCAAGACCAGCCTGTGCAAAATGGCAAAACCCCATCTGTACAAAAAATACAAGAAAAAAATCAGCGAGGCATGGTGGTGGGCGCCTGTAGTCCCAGCTACTTGGGGTCTGAGGTGGGAGGATCACTTGAGGCCAGGAGGCAGAGGCTGCAGTGAGCCGAGATCATGCCACTGCACTCTAGCCTGAGTGACAAAGTGAGACCTTATCTCAAAGTAAATAAATAAATAGAAATACATTGCTGGCACAAGACTAGGTTAGTTTCTAGTCACTTCTCCAGCCTCATCTTCCTTTACCTCTTGTTGTACACACAAATGATAGCACTCTATCCCCAAGCAGATTCTGTACTGTTTCCCCTCCAGGCATTTAGTCACTCTGTCCCCTCTCCATAGAATGACCCCTCCCTCAATTTTCTCTGAAAATGTTTGTGTTCTCCAGGATGTATCTCCTCATCTCCTTTCCTCCTCTGGATAAGGAGCTCTTCCTTTGTGCTCCTATTTCACACTCAGCACCTCTCCATCACTGCAATGACCACCTTCTATCATAAGCACCATGTTTGTATATATATTGCTGTCTTCCCCTCTCCCCAGACACAGTGACAAAATGAAGCATCACTCATTTTTCACATTTTAATGGCCTCACATACTACCTGAAAATAGTAGGTACTTGTATCAGTCATCTATTGCTGCATAACAAATTACCCCAAAACTTAGCTTTTGAAATTCACAATATTTATTATCTCACAGTTTCTCTGAGTCAGAAATTCAGGAACAGGTGCAGCTTAGTTGGGTGATTGGGATGCAGATCTTTCACAAGGCTGTAATCAAGGTGTCTGTCAGGCTACAGTCTCAAGGGTCAACGGCAAGGGGGGATCTGTTTCCCAGCTCACTCGGGTGGCTGTTGGCAGTCCTCAGAAAATCGACTTTCCAGCTCAGTCACGTGGTGTTGGCAGATGTTAGGATCCTTGCTGACTATTGACTGAAGATACTATTTTCTTGCCACACAAATTTCTCCATAATGTTACTCAAAACACAGCAGCTGGATTTCCCCAGACTGAAGTCTGAGAAAGAGTGAGGTGGAAGTCACAGTCCTCTTGTAACCTAATCTCAAAAGTGACATTCTGTCACTTTTGTTGTATTCCAGTTGCTAGAAGTGAGTCACTAGGTCCAGCACACATTCAAGGAAAGGAGATTGCACAAGGATGTGAATTCTGGAAGGTGGAGATCACTGGGGACCATCTTCAGGCTGCTGACCACAGTGCTCAATAAATCTGTAAACAAATGGACAAATCTCTCCAGAAAGGAATGAGCCCTTCCTTCCCTGAAGACCCACAGTGTTTGAATTATTAGAGAATGCAGCACAATGTGACTTTAGCTGGGCATGTGTTCATATACATTGCCGGATCATCAGCAACTGAGTAAAAACAGTGCCAAACATATGGCTGGCACGCAGTAAGTAATTCCTTGAGTGGGTGAATAAGTGAAAGAAAGGGTGGCAGAGACTAGGACTTGTCCATTATGTTCTTCAATGATATAATTTTTTTTATTTTTAGCTAGGCACATAGGCATGCCACTGGAGACTACATTTCCCAATATCCCTGCAACTGGAGGTGGCCATGCTACTAGTATTGGGCTAATGGGATATGAGAACCTTGGGCAAAACTTTTGTTTCTCCCTTTCCTTTGACTGGAATACAGAGGTTTGAGTGAGACCCTGAGCAGGGAGAGATACAATGAGAGTGGCAGGACCATCCTATCAGACTACTGACTACCAGACAACCTCTGGGCTAGTCCATGAAGCAGAATTAAACTTTTTTTTTTTTTTTTTTTTTTTTTGGAGATGGAGTCTCACTCTGTCTCCCAGGCTGGAGTGCAGTGGTGCGATCTCGGCTCACTGCAACCTCCGCCTCCTGGGTTCAAGCGATTCTCCTGCCTCAGCCTCCCAAGTAGCTGGGACTATAGGCGCATGCCACCACGCCCAGCTAATTTTTTTCTATTTTTAATAGAGACAGCGTTCCACCATGTTGGCCAGGCTGGTCTCGAACTCCAAAACTCAAATGATTGGCACGCCTCGGCCTCCCAAAGTGCTGGGATTATAGGCGTGAGCCAACACGCCCAGCCAGAACTAAACTTTTATCCTATAAAAACTACTGTTCTCTAGAGTCTCATCATTATACCAGCACAGAGTATTCCTGTCAAATACAGAATTTTAAAAGCAAACAAGAAGGCACCCACCATCCCTTCCTCTCCTTCATAACTAGCCCATGCTTTAAACACACCCAAAATACTTGTTAGATGTAATTGCGTCTGTGGGAACACTGGGCCGTCTTGGTGGATGAGAAGGAGTATTTCAGTCATCTTTCCCCTTTGTTAGGCAAGTGCAGGCTTCTTTCAGTCAGCACTTGTAAGATTCAGAGACTCTGGGGCTCCTCAGAGAAGTGGCCTACAGCAGCACAAAGTGGCCTTAACTTTCAAAGGTTGTGGCAGAAAGCCACCAAGGAGAGGCACACATCAGAGTGGATTCTTCTCAAGGAAAATCTGTCCAGCCTGAGGTTTCCTTGCAGGGTTTGATTTGTTTTCCAAAAAAGGAGAAGAGTTCTCAGCACAAGCCCTGCAAAGCGCCAGGCCAGCAGCTCCTCCAGACCCCTGCAGCTGTCAAGGGCCAGTGTTCCACTGCGCAGAAGCGGCCACGGTCGTTCTGGCTCCCCACTCGTCTGCTCTCAGGGCACTGGCCACGCTGCAGTTCTGGAGGAGCAGGGTTTCTGCCTTCATCTGAAACTGGAGAGGATCCAGGACCTGAAACTGGATGGTTTAGTTCTGTTTGTATTCTTTCACAGTATACGGATGGAAGGCTCCACCAACACCATCTTCAAATGCCAAAATAAAATGCTCATCCAGCCAAATCATCTCTGCTGAGGCTAGCACAAGGAGATGACAAAACCTTGTTAAAATACAGGAAGGAGCTAGGAAGGAAGTGGAATAAGGGTTTCTTGCCTGGATTGAAAAAAAATCTGTTAATGGGGTAGATATATGCCAAGTATAGAGTCATTTGAAGATATTTGTTTTTCATGGGCAGGCAAATTTGAGAAACCAGAAGAGAAAGAAGGGGTGAAGAACTCCAGGTTAAAGTCACAGATTCAGTTGTCTTAGAATGTGGGGAAGTTTTAAAGCACCTGCTCTCTGGGACCTTCTAGAAATATCCAAGGCACTTAAGAAGTCAGCTATGTCCATTCCCAACAAGATTCTGAGTGTACAAAGACTTAGTTTTTTAATGCTGTTGATGGTAGAGGAGGGAGACAGTAAATCTGACTTGAAAGATGATTCAGATTTAATAGATGGCCACTGGCAGATGGTAGAGAGCATTTCAGGCAGGGAGCAGCATAAGCTACGTTCCTGGGGTCCGAGAGTACAAGGGGTGTTTCTGGAACTCCCAATGACCCAGAGAGGAAGGATCACAGGGTACTTGAGTGAGGTCTTTGATAAGAAAGAATAGAGATGATTTCAATTAAAAATAGTGCAAAGGATATGGGAAGAAGTAAAGAAGGGTTAATGGAGCAGAGAGAAAAGAGACATTCTATTCTGTAGAATCCAGCTGCACAGCAGTATAGTGGTTAGTTCTGTGGTTCACGACTCCATGGCTTAAGTCAAAGCCTCTGGGGTCACCCACTGTATTAGTATCCTCGGCTGCTGTAACCAAGTACCACAGATTGGTGGCTTAAATTTATTTCAGCCATTCAGAAATTTATTGTCATGGTAACCATCTCTTCCTCTACTTCATAACTAGCCCATGTTTAAACACACCTAAAATATTTGTTAGATGTAGTTGTGCCTATAGGACCATTGGGTTGTGTTGGTGGATGAGAAGGAGTATTTAAGTCATCTTTCCCCTTTGTGGGATTGTCACCCACTGTATTAGTATCCTAGGCTGCCATAACAAAGTACCACAGATGGGTGACTTAAATTTTTTTAAGCCATTCAGAAGTTTATTGTCTCACAGTTCTGGAGGCCAGCAATCTGAGATCAGAGTCTTGACAGAGTCCATTCCTTCTGAGGCTATGAGGGAGAATCTGTCCCGTGCCTCTCTCCTATCTTCTCGTGGTTTGCTGGCAATCTTTGGCTTGTAGGTGCAACACGCCGATCTCTGCCTTTGTCTTCATATGGCATTCTCCCTGAATGCATGTCTGTCCCTATCTTCAAATTCCCCCCTTTTATAAGAATGCAGCCATACTGCATTAGGCCCACCCTAACAAACATATCTTATCATCTGCAAAGACCGCTTTTCCATGTTAGGTCATATTCACGGGTACCAGGGTTAAGACTTTCATATATTTTGTGGGGACACAATTCAACCCCAAACAGCCACTTGGTATTGCAAAAAGTGCTTGGTCTTTTAGCCCCAAGAACCTGTCTAAAACAGGAAGAAGGGTGTTCTTGGTGCAAGGATTGGCATAAAGTCAGTGCCTAACACACATCAGTGGTACTACCGTGCATACAGAGGAACCTCTATAGAAGCCAACCCCTGGCATAACTTCTAATTCAGGAACGTAGACAGAGGGACCGCTGACAGGTCCCCAATTTACTGATTTTCCCCACTCCCAACCCCAGTGCCTAAAGTCTTAGGGGCTTGATAAATATTTTCTGTAGTTTATGACTCTGTAACTTGACCTAATTTTTACTTGAAGCCACTATACTCCCATGGTAACAGAAACTGAAATGTCATCCATTTGAGGTTTCTCTCACCCTCTTTCCTGGGATTGTGGCTAAATTTCAGTGAGTCATGCCACGCCAGGACTCAGGGCAGAGACATGGGAGCTGGTTCTTAGTTCACTGGTCCAGCTAGGCTTCTGATGAGACTCCCAGGATCCTGCTGGTCCTAAGGAAGCAGTGCCCACAGGCATTGTTCCTGTCCCAACAGTCCCTGAGGTCTGGCAGGGCCCTCTATCATCTCTATGCCTCACAAGGGCAGAGGATCCTTCGACTCCCTCCATGCCAGGCTGGAGCAAAGGACTCCTCTGGGTCTGCAGCCACTCCCTCATGGGGTCTTCCTGCTTTCCCCCAGGGTTCTTCCCCCAGGGAAAGAGGTACAGCACTCCTGCCTTGGGCTTCCCAAAACTTTCTGCGGGACCTGCAGTGCCTGGGGACTCCCCATGTTAGACTGGCCCACCCTGCTCTCATTAACTTCATCCTCTACCTCCTCAAACCCAACTAGATGGGGGGAACCTTCTGTCTCCCTTTACTGTTTCTCCCCAGACATTTTGGAGATACCTTAATCCTAATCCTCTTTGTTCCACTGAGGACACAAAGTTTTAGAAAGCAAAACCAGAAAGACAGAGGGGGCAGGGCACTATTTGTGCCTTCATCCTTGACACCCCTTCCACTGAGGTGTGGACTCAGACCAGCATACTGCATTAACAGGAAAACACCAGAGGAAATAAGTTAACATTTAAAAAATATTACCTCAGCTTGTTTTGGTGGATAAATAAATAAATAAATAAATAAGGCACTTGGGGCCAGATCCTGAGCCAGCTTCATGAAAATCCTCACTTCTGAGGTCCCACCGACACCTAGGTTTCCAGTGGGAGGGCCCAGAGCCCCCACACCTTTTCCACCCAAAAGTCAGAGCTCAGGCTGTGGTTTCTATGGTGTCCAAGAGCTCCCTGACCACCTGCCCCAAGTGGAATCACTAATTTCTTCTGCTGTGCTCCCAAGCGTGGCTGCAGTTCTAATGAGCATGTACCCATGCTGCCTGGCATTACTACAGTTAATATTCTACAGAATATTCCGCCAGCTCTTCCCCAACCTATGCAGCAAAGGGAAAGCTCTGTCACTTACTACCCGGGTGATTTTTCTGTCCTCCCATTTTCCTCATAGGTAACGTGGGGATAAGGATCCCCACCTGCTGGGTTGCTGCAAGGGTTAGGTAACGCAGCCTCAATGAAGTCCCAAGCCACGGCCCAACAGGTGGTGGGTGTGTGTGAATAGCTAGGGCTGGGGCTGGGGCCTGCTTGGGTACACTCTCCTTGGCCTCACTTGCACAGGCCAGGGGGTGAGCCATCATGCTAACGAGGCTGCTCCAGCAGAAGGGCCTCAGCCTGTGGACTTCACCCAACAGAAGGGCGATCACTAAAACCCACTCATGCCTTAAACCAGCCCAGGTTGAGGTCATGGTGACCCATTCAATAACTAAGCTCTCATGGAACTTCAGCTATGAGCCAGGTGTTTTCATGCGCCTGACATCGGGCTCCATGGGGTGCTGGGGGAGGCCGATACGGACAGAAGAACAGGATAATAATGTAAAGAGCTAAAAACAACTGGGCTCAAGGTGCTATGGGATCACAGAAGAACACTGATTGTTTACTTATGGTCATTCATTTATTCATACCACCTTCATAGCCACCTGTTTTTCCAGAAAGGATGTAAGGAGGCCTGGGAGAAATAAAGAATTCTACGCTCTCAGTCATCTGGAAGTCTGGCCCTGATGGCTGTCACTAAGCATATCAGGAGGACAGATTGTCCAGGCTCAGGGCACAGCAAGGACAAGAGCATGGATATGTGGACACACCAGCCTGAGATGCTGCTTTTCCCAGGCAAGTGCTTTTCCCAGTGAGTGCTGGTCCCCAGATGTCCCCAGGCCTTACGCCTTCACCTCACCTCTTTCAGGTTCCTGTTCAGATGTCCCTTTCTCAGCAAGGCCTTTGGTAATCACCAGTGGTACACCAGGGCTGGCTAGTCCCAGTTCCCAAGAGCTGATTGTTAAATTTCCAGGAAATTTGCTAGCTGGTTAGTAAACACAGACATTAGTGAAAACTAAACTATGTGAATTTATAACTAAATAAATTGTATTAGCAGCCCAGGTTTTAAACATACTCGAAACACCTCATTGCCTAATTATTTTACATTTTACTATTACCTATACTTGAGGTTATTTACATCTACTACATCCGTAGGTTAGGTATACTACATAATACTGTGCTAATGTGCACTCCCAATTTCCCATTTAATGATGTTGAATTCATAGTTTTAAATAAGCCAGGTACTGTGATGTGTGCTTGTAGTCCCAGCCGAGGTAGAGGCTGACGTGGGAGGATCACTTGAACCTAGGAGTTTAAGGCTGCTGTGAGCTAGGATCACACCACTGCACTCCAGCCTGTGCAACAGAGCAAGACCCTGTCTCTAAATAAATAAATAAAATTTATAGCTTTGATCTTCCACGGCAAGGATATTTCCACCATTGAAATTGGCCATTGCTACAAATCAGGGCTTTTTCCCGCAGAAAGCCAGTTGTTCAGCATTTACCAGCACACCACTGCTAGCCATCTTATTCAAAATTGTAATCACCCTCCCACCTCCAATCTCACCTACTCTCATTTATTTTTTTCGTAGAACATATTGCTTTCTAACAGGTTACACAATTTATTTAGCATTCTTATTTCCTGTCTCACCACATCAGAAAGCAAGTTACATGAAGGCAGCGATGTTTTTCTACTGTGTCCTTCATGGAATCCCGGTGCCCGGAAGAGCACCTGGCACCTAGCTGTGCTCGGCAAATCTTTATCGAATGAATGTTGTCGAACGCTGGGACTCTCTGTGGGTATGACTGGTAGGGATAGAGATTAGGGCTCCTCCCATCACCTTGCCTTGCCCTGTGGGGCTGTTCCTGACTCCAGGCTGACCCCTGCCTCCCTCCCTGCCATCTCCTCCATGCCTACAGACTCAGGGGAGTCTCATGTAAATGTGTTCCTCAGGACCCCGAGTCTGTGGGATTTCTCTTTACTCTGCCAACTCTGGCCTGAGACCAAAAAGTACTCACTTAATGTTACGGAGAATAAAGCTTTGTTGGCCTTTAAGACAGTGGTTCCCAACTGGCACCCAACCAGCACCCAGGAACTCGTTAGAAATGCAAGTTCTCAGGCCCCACCCCAGACACATTGAGCCAGAAATTTTGGGGATGAGGCCCAGCAATTTGTGTTTCTGAGACTCCAGTGCAGGAGACGCCAATGCATGCTCATTTGAGAACCACTGACTTAAGTCATTCTGAGCCAGTGGTTCTCAACGGGGACAATTTTGTCCCCAAGGGAACATTTGTCGGTATCGAGATATTTTTGGTTGCCATAGCTGGGGAGCAGGTGCTACTGGCACCTAGTGGGTAGAGGCGTGGATGCTGCTAACCCTCCTACAATGCACAGGGCAGCTCCTACAACAGAATTATCTGGCCCAAATGTCAATAATGCATAGGCTGAGACCCTGCTTTAAAGTATCCTCACTTTCCTACATCCATCCAGCTCTGCTTTCTTGTCTTTTCTACAGTAACCAACCTGCCCACCTCTGACAGTCAACTCTGAGGCAGACAAACGAGACTAGTGACTTGCCTCATGGATATTTTCTTGCACTAAGGAACAGGGACAATTAAGCTGACCTTCACAATCCAGTTTGTTAAGTGTTATGATTGGGAAAATAGCAAGGTGATGCCCCCAGCCCAAGCCTGAAACTTCAGGGAGGGCTTCTGAGGAAAAGGGGCCTCTGTTCTCAGCCTTCAAGGCAGAGTTAGATATAATCAGGGCTGGGGTGGGTGGGAGGTAGCTTTCCTTATGCAGCACTTACTGTGTTTCAGTCACTGTGCTCAGTGTTTCAGCAATACTGTCTCAACACCTTCTGAGATAGACACTATTGTTAGCACCATTTTATGAATGGAGACACTGTAGCCCGGAGATATTTAATAGCTTGCCTAAAGCCAGACATCTAGGAAATGTCGAAGTAGGAACTTGAATCTGGTCTGTAGACTCCAAAGCCTAAAAGGAGGTGGCTGCAGTTTACAGAGGGCAAAGAGAGAGGACTGGGATTTTTTTTTTTTAATACAGTTAACCCTTGTGTTATGGATTAAATTGTGTCCACCCCATCACCCTAAATTCATCCCGATCTCCAGGACCATAGAATATAACCATATTTGGAGAAAGATCATCGAAGAGGTGGTTTAGTTAAATGAAGCCTTCTGGGTGGGATCTAACCCAGTATGACTGGTGTTCTTATAAGAGGAAGGGACTGAGCATGGTGGCTCATGCCTGAAATCCCAGCACTTTGGGAGGCTGAGGTGGGAGGAGCACTTGAGGGCAGGAGTTTAAGACCAGCCTGGGCAACATAGTGAGACCCTGTATCAACAACAACAACAACAACAACAACAACAAAAAGTAGCCAGGTGTGGCAGCACACACCTGCAGTCCTAACTACTCAGGAGGATCTCCAGCTTGCGCAACAGAGGGAGACACTGTGTCAAACACAAAATTAAACAAGAGACACCAGGGATGCGCATGCACAGAGAAAGGCCATGCGAGGACACAGGAAGAAGGCAGTCATCTGCAAGGAGGCCTCAGGAGAAACCAATTTTCCCAGCACCTTGATCTTGGACCCCTAGCCTCCAGAACTGCAAGAAAATGAATTTCTGTTGTTTAAGCCACCCAGTCTGTAGCACTTTGTGATGACAAATGTAGCAAAGTAATACTCCTTGTTTCCTCTTTGGGGACACTGCTTTGATAGTAGGAAAATTCAGGGGATGTTTTGTTCTGTTTTCTCTGCCATAAAGTAAAAAAGACAGATCTGGGGTTCTGCCCTCCTCTCTCTACATACATCTCAAGAGGATTGCTGGGCCCCTCCAGTTTCCTCTGCCTCAGGGGCTTGTACTGAACCAAAGCTGAGAGACAATTTCTCTTCCTGGCTTTTGTAGGAGCCAAAATTCATTAAGAAGACAGTGCAGTGTGTCCTGGAGTGGAGGAGAGAGCCTTAAGTGGCAGAGGCAGATTCTCTGAGGTACAGAGGTGATAGTGATCTGAGGGGTCAAAAGGGCACTCAAGCCTCCTTTCCTGGCAGCACCACATAGAGTGGCCATTGGACACCTGGCATGGCTGACTACACTCACCTTCTCATGCAATAGAGCACTGGGACCTCAAAGCATACATGATGCACATTTCAGCCACTGCCAGCAGGGATCCACGACTGCAGCCACCACTGAGAAGTTTTTCTCTACTTATGGGCCCTAGAAGTGATACTGCTTCTGAAGGGCGTGAGATGCAGTTAGCACCAATGACAGCTGAGACCGAATCTCCCATCAGCCCAGAGAGATGGAGGGCTTATGTTGGATTGAGCTGAACTTAAAGCTAAAAAGAAAGCAATGCGATATTTTTGCACATCCAAATGTGTGCATTAAGAGTCAAATTGACTAGGCTTGATTTTTAGAATTGGGCTACCAAAATACAGGGCAGAAGCCAATTCAAAACAAAGCTGAAAACACATTTTTCAGCAAGAGAGACAATGAGCCAGGAGAGGAGGAATAAGCTATCCAGGGTTTTTCTTTTGGCTCTGCTGCTGTCTCCTGGCTCTGTGTTATCTCTGTCTAGGACTAATTAAGCTTGTCATCCGCATCAGAGGGTTGGGGCGAAGATTAAAAAGTTAAGTGGAGAAAGGCTCTTGAAGCTCCTTAGATGAAAGGGGATCTAATTAGCAAGGCCAGCAATGACCGCAGGCAGGCAGGCAGGCAGGAAGGCAGGTAGGCAGACAGGCAGGCAGACAGGCAGGCAAGGGCAGACTCTGCCCCCTTGCACTTACCAAACAGCTAGTTAGAGCTCCCGGAAGGGGCTTCTGCAAATTCCACTCAAGCCTTCAGCACCAAGAGAAGAATTTTCCACATTTTCTTCCAGCCCTAGAATTCTGAGATTCTTTATGAGTGGAGGGAAAAAAAAATGTGTGCACCTCTCCAAACTGATTGAGAGAAGAAAAAGGTACAATGCTCATTCCTTTCTCCTCAGCACAAGCTGATCTGCATGGATAGGGGTTAATGATACACAAGGAAGCAAGCAGAGTTGAGAAGTCCAGCAAGTTCGGTGATGGCATGAGACAGACATAGGTTCTAATGCTGACTCTGCCACTTACTGGTTATGAACACCGAGGCCAAACACTGAATAATGTCTCGAAATTCAGGTTCTTTATTTGCCCGGAAGTGGGGATAATACTTCCTACCTCATGGAATTGTATGGCTTAGATTCGTTTGTGCTGAACACATGGTACCCAAATAAGTGGATGTTTTTATGTCAGTCAATAATGCTACCGCTTGGTATGTAATAGGTGCTAGAAATACTGGTTGGCTGAGCCCCTTCATTCAGCAATTATTTATTGCACTATTTATTATGCTCATATTATTATATATGCCCTGGGTGTAAAATGTTGAGCCACGCAGACACAATTCTGCCTTCACAGAGCTGATGTGTATTCAGACGATGATCTCCATAAACCCTCAAATCCTCCCCTCAATGCCTTGTTTGTACTCTTGAAAGGCATCACTTGAGTATTTTTTTAGTATTTTAATTTTTATTTATTTTTATTTTGATAGTTTTAGGGGTGCAAGTGGTTTTTGGTTACATGGAGGAATAGTAAAGTGGTCAAGTCTTGGTTTCAGTATACCTGTCACCCAAGGAGTGTACATTGCACCAAATAGGTGATTTTTAAAAATCTCTCACCTGCCTACCACCCTCCCCATTTCTGAGTCTCCAATGTCCATTATACCGCTCTGTATGCCTTTGCATACCCATGCCTTAGCTCCCACTCATAAGTGAGAACATGCAGTATTTGGTTTTCCCTTCCTGAGTTATTTTGATTAGGATAATGGCCTTCAGTTCCATCCAAGCTGCTGCAAAAGACATTATTTCATTATTTTTATGGCTGAGTAGTATCCCATGGTAGATATGCCACATTTTCTGTATCCACTCATTGGTTTATAGGCACTTAGATTGATTCTATATCTTTGCAACTGTGAATTGTACTGTAATAAACATACCAGTGCAGGTGTCATTTTTATATAATGACTTATTTTCATTTGGATAGATACTCAGTAATGGGATTGCTGAAACAAATGGTAGATCTACTTTTAGTTCTTTGAAAAATCTGTATACTTTTTTCCGTAGAGATTGTACACATTTACATTCCCACCAACAGTGTATAAGCATTCTCTTTACACCACATCCGCACCATCTATTTTTCTTTTAATTTTGATAATGTCCATTCTAAATGGGGTAAGGTGGTATCTCATGGTGATTTGAATTTCCATTTCCCTG